AATATGTTTTCCATCCTCTGACTTTCAGTCTATATGTGTCTTGAGGTCTGAAATGGGTTTCTTGTAGATGGAATATATATGGGTCTTGTTTTTGTATCCATTCAGCCAGTCTGTGTCTTTTGGTTGGAGCACTTAATCATTTACATTTAAAGTAATTATTGATATATATGTTCCTATTGCCATTTTCTTAATTGTTTGGGGTTGATTTTGTAGATCTTTTCTCTTCTCTTGTATTTCCTGACTATATAAGTCCCTTTAACATTTATTGTAAAGCTGGTTTGGTGATACTGAATTCTCTTAACTTTTGCTTGTCTGAAAAGCTTCTTATTTCTCCATCAATTTTGAATGAGATCCTTGCTGGATACAGTAATCTCGGTCGTAGATTTTTTCCTTTCAGTACTGTAGATATATCCTGCCATTCCCTTCTGGCCTGCAGAGTTTCTGCTGAAAGATCAACTGTTAAGCGTATGGAGTTTCCTTTGTATGTTACTTGTTGCTTCTCCCTCGCTGCTTTTAATATTCTTTGTGTTTAGTCTTTGTTAATTTGATTAGTATGTGTCTTGGCATGTTTCTCCTTGGGTTTATCCTGTATGGGACTCTGTGCCTCTTGGACTTGATTGACCATTTCCTTTTTCATGTTGGGGAAGTTTTCAACTATAATCTCTTCAAAAATTTTCTCATACCCTTTCTTTTCCTTTTCATCTTCTGGGAGCCCTATAATTGGAGTGTTGGTGCATTTGATGTGGTCCTAGAGGTCTCTGAGACTGTCCTCAGCTCTTTCTATTCTTTTTACTTTATCCTGCTTTTCAAAAGTTATTTCCACCATTTTACCTTCCAGCTCACTAATTCGTTCTTCTTCTTCAGACAGTCTGCTATTGATTCCTTCTAGAGTATTTTTGATTTCAGTAATTGTGTTGTTTGTCTCTGTATGTTTATTCTTTAATTCTTCTAGGTCTTTGTTAACTGATTCTTGCATTTTCTCCATTTTGTTTTCAAGGTTTTTGATCATCTTTACTATCATTATTCTGAATTCTTTTTCAGATATTTTGCCTATTTCCTCTTCATTTATTTGGACTTCTGTGTTTCTAGTTTGTTCCTCCATTTGTGCAGTATTTCTCTTCCTTTTCATTATTTTTATTTATTTATTTATTTTGTATGTTTATTAGTCTTTAGGTTTTATTTTTGTCTAAAGTTATTGTGTTTGAGGTCTGCTTTTCCCGGGCCTCAAGGAAAGTTGAATTCTTTCCTTGAAGAAGGTTGAATTCTTTCTTCCTTTTCCTTTCTGCCTTCCTAAGATTGGTCCAGTAGTTTGTGTGAGCTTTGTATAGGGTGAGATTTGTGCTGAGTTTTTGTTTGTTTGTCTTTCCTCTGACGGCAATACTGAGTGAGGTGATAATCCTGTCTGCTGATGATTAGGTTTGAATTTTGTCTTGTTTGTTGTTTAGGTGAGGCATCCTGCACGGGGTGCTACTGGTGATTGGGTGATGCTGGTTCTTGTATTCAAGTGGTTTCCTTTGAGTGAGTTCTCACTACTTGATATTCCCTAGGGTTAGTTATCCCAGGCTGCTTGGCTTGTGGGGACCCTGCTGGTGCCAAGTATGCAGGTACACGGACTGCCTCTGTCACAGGAGTTATGGCCCTATCAGAGTCTTTCTTCCAGCCTCTTGTAGCTGGCAATCTGAAGGCCTCTTTGGCCAGTCTTTCTCCATAGCTCCGCCCATTCAGGCACTTAGAGGGCTCCCTTGCCTGGGGTCCTTCTCTGCTATTCAGTGAGTCAGGCACATAGAGGGGCCCCCCTGGCTGGGGTTCTACTCTGTAGTTTGGCATATCAGTGACTGAAAGGAGCACCCTGGGTGGGGTCCTAATCTAGTTCAGTGCGTCAGGCATTTGATGGGCCAGCCTCTCTATTGTTCAGCTGCCGATGCTGGCATGTGGGGAGAGAGAGGCTATGGTGATGGCTTCACCTCCTACGTGTGACTCAGCAGTATTGCCTTGCTTCCATGGCTGCCGGGCTTTCCTCCACCAGTGTTTCCCACCCCGATCTCCTCCCTCACATCCCCTCCGTCTGTCTCTCCGCAGTCAACAGCAGCCCTCGCCCTGGGATTGCTCCACAATCCCTAAATTCCAGCTCTCAGCTGCTGTGCCTTCCAGAAGACCAGCGTTCCTGTCTGGGGTATGTATTGTTGTGGCAAGGACTGTCTGATTCTCATTCCATTTAGGCTGCCACAGATCAGCTGTTTCACTCTCAGCCTTAAATGTTTCTCCTCTGACTCAGACAATTGCCCTGCCATGGCGATCGGACCCCTGCTTCAGTTCCCCCACCCACTGAAGGAAGGTCAGACTGTCCTCAGCTCTTTCTATTCTTTTTACTTTATCCTGCTTTTCAAAAGTTATTTCCACCATTTTACCTTCCAGCTCACTAATTCGTTCTTCTGCTTCAGACAGTCTGCTATTGATTCCTTCTAGAGTATTTTTGATTTCAGTAATTGTGTTGTTTGTCTCTGTATGTTTATTCTTTAATTCTTCTTTGTTAACTGATTCTTGCATTTTCTCCATTTTGTTTTCAAGGTTTTTGATCATCTTTACTATCATTATTCTGAATTCTTTTTCAGGTATTTTGCCTATTTCCTCTTCATTTATTTGGACTTCTGTGTTTCTAGTTTGTTCCTCCATTTGTGCAGTATTTCTCTTCCTTTTCATTATTTTTATTTATTTATTTATTTTGTATGTTTATTAGTCTTTAGGTTTTATTTTTGTCTAAAGTTATTGTGTTTGAGGTCTGCTTTTCCCGGGCCTCAAGGAAAGTTGAATTCTTTCCTTGAAGAAGGTTGAATTCTTTCTTCCTTTTCCTTTCTGCCTTCCTAAGATTGGTCCAGTAGTTTGTGTGAGCTTTGTATAGGGTGAGATTTGTGCTGAGTTTTTGTTTGTTTGTCTTTCCTCTGACGGCAATACTGAGTGAGGTGATAATCCTGTCTGCTGATGATTAGGTTTGAATTTTGTCTTGTTTGTTGTTTAGGTGAGGCATCCTGCACGGGGTGCTACTGGTGATTGGGTGATGCTGGTTCTTGTATTCAAGTGGTTTCCTTTGAGTGAGTTCTCACTACTTGATATTCCCTAGGGTTAGTTATCCCAGGCTGCTTGGCTTGTGGGGACCCTGCTGGTGCCAAGTATGCAGGTACACGGACTGCCTCTGTCACAGGAGTTATGGCCCTATCAGAGTCTTTCTTCCAGCCTCTTGTAGCTGGCAATCTGAAGGCCTCTTTGGCCAGTCTTTCTCCATAGCTCCGCCCATTCAGGCACTTAGAGGGCTCCCTTGCCTGGGGTCCTTCTCTGCTGTTCAGTGAGTCAGGCACATAGAGGGGCCCCCCTGGCTGGGGTTCTACTCTGTAGTTTGGCATATCAGTGACTGAAAGGAGCACCCTGGGTGGGGTCCTAATCTAGTTCAGTGCGTCAGGCATTTGATGGGCCAGCCTCTCTATTGTTCAGCTGCCGATGCTGGCATGTGGGGAGAGAGAGGCTATGGTGATGGCTTCACCTCCTACGTGTGACTCAGCAGTATTGCCTTGCTTCCATGGCTGCCGGGCTTTCCTCCACCAGTGTTTCCCACCCCGATCTCCTCCCTCACATCCCCTCCGTCTGTCTCTCCGCAGTCAACAGCAGCCCTCGCCCTGGGATTGCTCCACAATCCCTAAATTCCAGCTCTCAGCTGCTGTGCCTTCCAGAAGACCAGCGTTCCTGTCTGGGGTATGTATTGTTGTGGCAAGGACTGTCTGATTCTCATTCCATTTAGGCTGCCACAGATCAGCTGTTTCACTCTCAGCCTTAAATGTTTCTCCTCTGACTCAGACAATTGCCCTGCCATGGCGATCGGACCCCTGCTTCAGTTCCCCCACCCACTGAGGGAAGGTCCAATCCTGCTAACACTCCTGTTTTTCCCCCTGGTTCCTTTGTCCTACCAAGTTATTCATGGTTCTATGTATTCTTTTCCACTGCTCAGGTACTCCTGCCTGCTCTCAACTGGTGTTCTACATGCACTTCTGTGTCTGAAAGTGTATTCCTGATGTATCCGTGGAGAGAGATGTACTCAATGTCCACCTACTCCTCCACCATCTTGTTCTCAGTCTCTGCCCACATTCTGATTGGGTTGTTTTTCTGGTATTGAGTTGCATGAACTGCTTGTGTATTTTGGAGATTAATTCTTTGTCAGTTGTTTCATTTGCTATTATTTTCTCCCATTCTGAGGGCTGTCTTTTCATCTTGCTTATAGTTTCCTTTTTTGTGCAAAAGCTTTTAAGTTTATTAATGTCCCATTTGATTATTTCTGTTTTTTTTAATTACCGTATGTAAAATAGATAACCAGTGTGAGTTTGATGTATGACACAGGGCATGAAAAGCCAGTGGTCTGTGACAACCTGGTGGGATAGGATGGGGAGGGAGGTGGAGGGGGCTTCAGGATGGAGGGGGCACATGTATACCTATGGCAAATTCATACTGATATATGGCAAAAACCATCACAATACTGTAAAGTGAGTATCCTCCAATTAAAATAAATAAATAAATTAAAAAGAATAAAGTGCTTGGCAATTAAAAAGATAATCAATCACTACATACAAAAAGTATGAAAGGAAGCTGGCTGTATTATCTACTCAATGATTGAAGACTTGAACCCTGATTAATTTATGTTACTCTAAACAGGATAGGAGAACTCCCTGGTGGTTCGGTTGGTAAAGTTTGCCTGCAATGAGGGAGAACTGGGTTCAATCCCTGGGTTGGGAAGATCCCCTGGAGAAGGTAATGGCAACCCACTCCAGTAATCTTGCCTGGAGAATTCCGTGGATAGAGGAGCCTGGTGGGCTACAGTCCATGGAGTCATAATGAGTCAGACACGACTGAGTGACTAACTTTTACTTTCAAACAGGGTATGACTCAGGACACGACTGTATGCTTAGGACATGATCGAGCATACACCTAAACTTATAAGAAGTAAATGGGGTCTTTACCTCAGTCACGATGGTGGAGGAGAACAAGCTATGGTCATACACCCAGCCGTCCACACAGGGCTCCGTGTCCAGGTCAGTCATGTTGGGGAAGGTCCCATTCAGGTGAAGGAGCTGCCACTGGGGGTGGAGGAAGCGGCGACACTTCTCTGGCACAGAGACAGTGGCATTATCGAGGATGTGGACCCAGCAGCGATGACCAGGAACAGCTGCAGTGAAGTTCTCCAACAGTGAGTGACAGACTACTATCATGAGAGAAGGGAAAATTAAAGCCATCTGAAGTATCTGGAATTTCCCCAGGCCACCAACTTTATCCAGGAGCTCCTCAAAGGCCATTGCGAACAGGTGATATTCAAGAGGAGTCAAAATGACTTTACAGAGAGACGTTCAAAGGGAGAAAATGTTTTCTTTAATTCACACTAAGTCTATGTGACCTCATGCCAGTTTCTCATGCCTGGGTCTAACCCACCTCACTACTGTAACAGAGCAATGGAAAGTTTCCCTAGTCCTTTTGAAAGCATGGGCTGGTTTCTTTTTAGCAAAGTTATGGAGAAAATTATTTACCAAAGATATCTGTATCTGATCAACATTAAATCTGTTTAAAGATTTACTCTCTGAATCTGTTTGTCCTTTGTGATTCTGTGAAACTGGCATAGGACTTTGTCATGTACATGACCTCTGAATAACCTTAAAGTAAGCCTGCTACACAGTCTTCAGTCATTTCTAAAAAATGAAACTTGAGAGACACAAGGACTATTCTAGGAAGGAGTAGAAAACAGTTTTTTCTTGTTTGCGCTGTAACAACACACTACTCAAGAAAATACAATCCTTTGCTCTTAATTAAAGTGGCATGTGGTACAATTTCTAAATGGTTCAAAGTTGGGAAAGGCGAACAACGAGGCTGTATGTTGTCACTGTTTATTTAACTGATATGCAGAGTACATCATGCGAAATGCCAATCTGGATTAATCATGAACTGGAATCATGACTGCTGGGAGAAATATCAACAACCTCAGATTTGCATATGATACCACTCTAATGGCAGATAGTGGAGAAGAATTAAAGAGCCTCTTGATGAGATTAAAAGTTCAGTTCATTTCAGTCACTCAGTCGTGTCTGACTCTTTGTGACCCCATGGACTGCAGCACACCAGGCCTCCCTGTCCATCACCAACTCCCGGAGTTTACNGGTGGTGTCACCTGCATATCTGAGGTTATTGATATTTCTCCTGGCAATCTTGATTCCAGCTTGTGCTTCCTCCAGCCCAGCATTTCTCATGATGTACTCTGCATATAAGTTAAATAAGTAGGGTGACAATATACAGCCTTTTCCTATTTGTCTAACTCAATGAAACTTTGAGTTATGTCTTGTAGGGCCACCCAAGATGGATGGGTCATCATGGAGAGTTCTGACAAAATGTGGACATTATGGAGAAAGGAATGGCAAACCATTTCTGTACTCTTGCCTTGAGAACCCCATGAACAGTATGAGGGTAAAAGAGGAGAGTTAAAAAGCTGGATTGAAACTCAGCATTCAAAGAACTAAGATCATGGCATCTGGTCCAATCACTTCATGCAAACTCAAGGGGGAAAAAATGGAAGCAGTGACGGATTTTCTGTTTTTGGTCTCCAAAATCATTGTGGACAGTGACTTCAGCCATGATACTAAAAATGCTTGCTCCTTAGACAGAAAGCTATGAAAAACCTTTTGTTGGTTTTCAGTCACTAAGTTACATCCACTCTTTGTGACCCATGGACTGCAGCCCTCCAGGCTTCTCTGTCCATGGAATTCTCTAGGCAAGAATACTGGAGTGGGTAGCCATTTCATTTTCCAGGGGATCTTCCTGACCAAGGATCAAACCTGTGTCTCCTGCACTGTAGGAGGATTCTTCACCAACTGAGCCACCAGGGAAGCCCATTATGTTGAAGTAGTTTCCCTCTATGCCCATCTTCTGAAGTGTTTTTAATCATAAACCTGTGTTGAATTTTATGAAAAGCTTTTTCTGCATTGTTTGAGATTAAAAAAAATTAATTTGTTGTTGTGGTGCATCACAGTGATTGATATGTGGATATTGAAAAATTCTGCATACCTTGTATAAATCCCATTTGATCATAGTGTATGATCCCTTTATATGTTGTTGGATTCAGCTTGCTACTATTTTGTTGTGGATTTTTGCATTTATGTTCATCCGTGATATTGGCCTGTAAGTTTTTCTTTTGTGTGTGTGTGATGTTTGTCTGGTTTTGGTATCAGAGGTATGGTGGCATCATAGTATGAGCTTGGGAGTGTTCCTTCCTCTATAATTTTTTATTACTTTTTTTTTCTGTCTACACTGTGTGGCATGTGGGATCTTAGTTCCCTGACCAGGGATGGAACCCAAGCCCTCTTCAGTGGAAGCACAGAGTCTTAACCACTAGATCACCAGGTAAGTCCCTTCCTCTACAATTTTTTGGAAGAGTTTCTAAAGGGCAGGTGTTAATGCTTCTCTAAATATTTGATAGAATTCATCTGTGAAATTCTCTCTCCTGGACTTTTGTTTGTTGGGGATTATTAATCACAGTTTCAATTTCAGTACTTGTAATTACTCTGTTTGTATATTTTGTTTCTCCCTGGTTTTGTCTTGGAAAGCTGTACCTTTATAAGAATTTGTCAGTTTCTTCTAGGTTGTCCTTTTCTTTGGCATACTGTTGTATTTCTGTGGTGTCCCTTGTAACTTCTAATTTTATTGGTTTGAGTCCCCCCCTCTTTTTTTTTTTTTTTGAGGAGTCTTGCTAAAGATTTATCAATTTTGTTTATTTTGTCAAAGAACCAACTTTTAGTTTTATGGATCTTTGTTTTTGTTTTCTTTGTCTCTATTTCATTTTATTCTGTTCTGATCTTTATGATTTCTTTCCTTCTACTAACTTTGGGTTTTGTTTGTTCTTCTTTCTCTAGTTGGTTTAGGTGTGAGTTTTTGAGATTTTTCTTGTTTCTTGAGGTTAGATTGCATTGCTATAAACTTCCCTCTTAGAACTTCTTTTGCTGTGTTTCATAGCTTTCGGATCGTCATGTTTTCATTGTCAGTTGTCTAGGTATTTTTTAATTTTCTTTTAGTTTTTTTCACTGATCCACTGATTAATAACATTTTGTTTTACCTTTTTGTGTTTGTGTTTTTTTCAGTTTTGTTTTCCCATAATTGATTTCTAGTCTCATAGCATTGTAGTTGGAAAAGATTCTTAATACAATTTCAATTTTCTTAAATTTATCAAGGCTTAGTTTGTGGGCAAATGTGATCTTTCCTGGAGAATATTCAATGTGCTCATTGGAAGAAAGTGTGTTCTGTTTCCTTTGGATGAGTGCTCTATAATTATCACTGAAGTCTATTTGATCTAATGTATCATTTAAGGCCTATGATTCTTTATTAATTTTCTGTATGGATGTTTATCTCCATCGGTGTAAGTGGGTGTTAAAATCTTCCATTTTTATTGTGTTACTGTCAATTTCTCTTTTTATGACTGTTAGCATCTGCCTTTATGCTGAGGGGCTTCTATGCGGGGTGCATATATATTTACAATTGTTCTGTATTTTTCTTGAATGATCCCTTTATCATTATGCACTGTCCTTCCTTGTCTCTTAATATTATTTATTTATTTGGCAATGCCAGGTCTTATTTGCAGCATGCAGGATCCTCAGTTGTGGCATGCAAACAGTTGTGACATGCAGGATCTAGTTTCCTGATCAGGAATCAAACCCAGGCCCCCTGCATTGGGAGCACAGAGTCTTAGCTACTGGACCACCAGGTAATTATTTTTCCTTGTCTCTAGTAACAGTGGATATATATATATATATATTATTCCTCTGGCTGTGGTGGATCTTCATTGCCACGTGTGGGCTTTCACTACCTGTGCTGAGTGAAGGCTGCTCTCTGTCACTGTACACAGGCTTCTACTCGTGGTGGCTTTCTTTGCTGTGGAGAAGAGGCTCTGAGTGCCCAAGCTCCAGCAGTTTCAGCCTGTAGGCTTAGTAGTTGAGGCTCATGGACTCCAGAACATAGGTTCAATAGTTGCACGTGTGAACGTCACTCAGTCGTGTGTTACTCTTGGTGGTCTCATGAACTGTACAGTCCATGGGATTCTCCAGGCCAGAATACTGCACTGGGTTGCCATTTCTTTCTCCAGAGGATCTTCCCAATCCTGGGATCGAACCCAGATTTCCTGCATTGTAGGCAGATTCTTTACCAATTGGGCCACCAGGGAAGCCCTCAGTAGTTGTGTTCATGGGCTTTGTTGCTCCATGGCATGTGGGGTCTTCCTTGACCAGGGATGGAACTGGTGTCCCCTGAATTGCAAGGCAGATTCTTCTGGACCACTGAAGCACCAGGGAAGTCCCACTGCCATGAGGATTTTATATAGCAATCTATATATGTACAAAGTTATTTTAAGTGGTTGGCTTCTTAATTTCAAATACATTTCCATTCCCTGCATTTATGTACTCCTTATAATTATTGCTGGTTTTGATATCACATTTGTATGATGATGTCTTATAGTTACTTTATGTTTGCCTTTACTTGTGAGCTTTTCCATTTGTGATTTTCTTATATCTAGTTGCCTCTTCAATACATCCCTTACCTGGAGAAGTTCCTTTAGAATTTTTGTATGGTAGTTTGACTGTGCTGAATTCACTTAGTTTTTGCTTGCCTGCCAATTTTTATTTCTCTGCCTAATCTGAATGAGAGTCTTGCTGGGTAGAGTATTCTTAGTTGTAGGTTTTCCCCTTTAATCATCTAAAAATTATTGTCCACTATTATTTATTTATTTATTTTTACTATGGACCATTTTTTAAAAGTCTTTATTGAACTTGTTACAATATTGCTCCTGTTTTATATTTTGGTTTTCTGGCTGCCAGGCATCTGGGATCTTAACTCCCTGACTAGGGATGGAATCTGCCTCCCCTTGTTTTGGGAGTTGATATCTTAACCACTGGACTGCCACAGAAGTCCCTTTCTGCACTTTATTGATGGGAAAATGAGGCAGTATATTGTATCGGACAAAAAATTTGTTTTTTTTCTGTCAAATGTTACTGAAAACCCTGAACAAACTTTTTTACCAACACAATCAGTGACTCATTCCTGTATTTGGCTACCAAGATCCCTGGAAGTGGCAGAAGTACTTACAATACTTGTTGGTGTTTGAGCTTATAATATTTAGGGACTTCTTTCTATTTTTTTAGAATATGTGCTATAAATATACACTATGTGCACAAAATTGATAGAACACATGCCAAGCTTTGGGAGGAAATCATGCTTGTGAGTGACTATCAGGTTTAAACTTTGAAGTTTCTTGGAAAATTTCCTGGTGAATAAACAGAGAGCAGTTTGACTCCAAAGTCTGTGATCCCTTGTTTATAGTACATGTTTTAAGTATTCATATGTTCCTAGAATTTGTATAACAGAACATGAATTTATATTTTTGATTCAATAAGTGAAGTGGTGGATTTTAGATAAAAGGCAAAAAAAAATTGTTGTCAAGAATCATGTGACAAATAAGCAAGAGATAGTTGACTGCACTTATGTGTAATTCTTGCATCAGGTGGTTAGTAGAATCTGCTCAGTCAGTACTGATAAGTACTGATTATCAGCAATCAACCACTTGAGGGTTTAAAGGAACATAAAAGTTTGCACAGAGACACGGAGTAAAGAATGCTGAAATAACCCAGAATATGGAGGTGAGCAGGAAAAGGAAGTGGTTATTGGGTTGGAGGGAAGACAAATGGTAACCTGCTTTCTCCTTATTGAGATAGACAAACTGCTTTTCTATTAAAAACAGGGACATTCAGTTGAGAATATAAACTCAGTTCCTTCTCTGTCATGTCTGTCTCATAGAAAAGAAGTTTTGCGTACTGTGAAAATAGCGCTTCATTTAGCTCAGTTCCTGATGTGAATCTCCAGTAAATGTGCTCTCCTGGATTCCCTGTACCCTTCTTTGGCCTCATTTTCAAAGTATTAGTGTTGCTATAGAATTTCCTTGTGTCTCCCTAGCTCCCTACACCATCT